TCAGTTTATCAATCACCTAACACCAAGTTCATCAATCAGCTACTACATACACAGTCAAGAAGTCAAGTCAATCAATCAGTAAGAGTAGCAGTCAATCATTTAGTTAGTCAATTTATCATTCAACAATTCAGCTGATCAATCAGATTGAAAGCACTTTAATTATATAGTGAATATTTTCTTTCACGACATTCCATTCGCAATACTCCCCACAGTCCAGCTGGCTGCAGGGTATTGTTTAAAAAATAAAAATAAAATGGAAAATAAAATAAATAAGCGCACCTTTTGTCGCAAAACGTTAATTAGTGCGAAATAATGAAGCTGCGTCCCAGTCGCAGATTCGCAGATTGCGAACTGAGCATTGGGGAATCGTAGCATGGGCAATGGGCGAGAGAGGTGGCGAGAGAGGGAACGGGCGTGGTAGAGGGGAGATGGGGAACTGCTTCTATCCAAATGCCACCCAAAGGGCGGACAGTGTCAAAGCTTAAGATGCGCGTGCAGCGAAAATATCGCAAGAATTTGTTGCCTCTTTTTTTTGGCTCTTGAGGGAAATATTTCTCCCCATCTTCGTCTTCGCTCTCGCCCTCGTCCCGTGTCCTTCAGTCCTTTGTAATTGCGCAAATTAGCCCAATTAGTTCGACAGCTTATCGCATGGCTAAGCAGCTTTATATGAAATAGCCAACATATTTGGACTTGATATAAACCTGCCCCGCCCACCCTCTCCCTTTTCCCCTATATATCTACGCACTCTTCGCTATGCTCTGCAGTGTTTCAGTGTTGGCAGCTGAGTTTTCCAGTACTCATTGAAAGATTTATTGAGTTCGTCCATTTGACAGACTAATAAAATAGTAAGTTTACAGGGTATTATGTAGGCGGACGATGCACTGATGACAGTTTGCAGTCAATTTTTAAAGCAAACTTTTATAAATGCAGTCAAAATAACAGAAATCCCCAAACAAACTAATTTCCAGGGTATTTCATAGTCAGGAAGTGCCGATTAGAGCACTTCTACATGCGATAATTGATACTTGTAATCAATCTTTAATGTAAACCATAAGCGAAATGGTTTATATATGCTAGGCCTATTCAGATTCAAGGGCTTTTCAAACTTGTACAGGGTATTCATGGGCAGTCAAGTAGAAGCAAGAAATTTGTCTGCATGAGAGAACTCAATTTACATTCGACAGCTTTGTGTGTTGCTACAGGGTATTCGTTAGTCAGACGTTAGTCAGAGACCAAATGTAAATGATTCATGGGTATATTCTAGTCGGGCATAGCCGCTCAAGGCATTTTAATACAATTCATTTCAAGAGACATTCAATACGAATTCAACGCAACGCCATTCAGCTTCAACACACTTGCCAGCTCCTACAGGGTATTCCACAGTCGGTCATGGCCGCTCTACTGCTTGTGCTCATGCATTTAGATGATGATTGATGCTTGCTGCCAAAAATAAGTGCACTCTGGCCAAAGAAAATTGTTGCGCTCTACCAAGTTCCTGATAAGCCTCTGCGCCCTAAACTTGCCGAGGTATTTGCACAAAGCCGCCTTCTGCAAGGGGCCAGGGGCGTGGCAATGAGAGTAGCTTATGGAAAATGCGTAGAGCAGAGCTAGCGTACATATGTGCGCACATTTTTGGCTCAAGTGCTGCGTAATTGGGGGCGGGGCGAGGAAAAGTTTGCTAAAATTTCAAATAAACTCCAAGGAAAGAGAGGCAGGAGAGTTAGACAAAGAGCGAGAGAGAGAGAGAGAGAGAGAGAGAGAGTTGGAAACTCTTAAAGTTGTTCAAGTTAAATCGCTGGCCTCTCCCCTCGTTGTAGTTACCTTGGCCTAACCAGCACTCAATTTATTTATGGCTTTGCTCTGAGCCGCAACTAGTTGACTCTTTTAATAACCAATTTGGCAGCCGGCAGCCGGCAGCCAGCAGCGAACAGCGGGCAGACGGCAACAAGGATATTAGCGTTGTCCTCGACGCCAGGATCCAAGAACTAGACCAAGTTTTTTCCACGCCCACCTGGAACTGTAGATGGAACTGAGTAGCTGCCGGTGGGAGCGGGCGAGGTGGAGCGGAGACTGGAGTAAATCTTAATGGAAAAACGCACAAGGACATGTACACCCATACACACACACGCACACCTGCTTAGCTACACCTACAGGTAAGTTGTGTATTATGAAAAGCTCATCTAATTTCAATCAATTGTTGCCAGAGTTGAGGGCAACAAATTTTTAAGTGCTGCTGCTGCTGCCTCCACTCGGATAGAAAGGTGTGTGTGTGTGCGTGTGTGTGTGTGTGGGTGTAGCAATATCTTCATCCAGAGCAACGCAGCTTGAACAAAAAGTTCGTGCAAAATTAAATTCAATAAAAATCAAAATGAAATTTAATAACCAGCCACACGTGCAGCTAAATAGATTTTGCAGCGGGTCGATAAACGATAAGCGATAACATTTGCTGGCTAGATGTTGAAGATGGCTTGCCCAGGCAGTCAGAGAACATGGCTGGATAATAAGGCTGAACGATCACATAACGAAAACTGGTGCTCGATAACGATAACAATCGGAAGGAACAAATGCTCGTTTCGATATTTGTTCGCCCTTAATCAAAAGCGAATTTCATTTTTGCAGGCAGCCTAGCTAAGCTCTCCGCTATTTCGGCTCCAGCCTAATCTTTAAAGCCCACCGCCAGCCCATAAGTCAGCTTCCTACCCGCACGTAGGCCCCAATTTAAGCCCCATCCCCACTCCCATCATCATTCCTGGCTCGAGCCGAAACCAAACTTCAAGTAGCTCTCGCGTAACCACTTAATCATATCAGCATAATAAGTCAACAGGAGACGCACCAAGGTAATAAAATTAAATCCTTGCTCAAAAGCTCACAGTAAGGGCAGACGGTGCCAGCAGGTGGCTGCTGGGGGCGTGGCGGGTGTACGCGATATTATAGTCTAAGCCCCAAAGCAGAGCGAAAAACCAACAAGCGAAATCAATGGGAAGTCAACGCGAGGCGTCTATGTCGCACGCAGAAAAATAAGAGGAGAATTGAAGATGCCTTTGCGTAGGGTATGCGCGACTTGGCAATGCCCTGTGGGGCAAGAGCTTGCGGATAAAAAGATAACTATAAATCACAAGAAAAGTCAAGGGGAATAAGATAGACGGCAAATGAAAATGTAAAACATATAGCAGTGCATATGATACGCTCGACTAGCAGATACCCTGTAGGCACATAGCTTGCTATAGGCAGATGAAGCAGGTATTTGACAGGGTTTAGCTGAGAGAGTTGACATATATGTGCCCAAAGGAGAAATTGACAAAGCACTTTATAGAAAATACTCAACTAGTATATACCCTATAGATAGAAAATGGAAGTTTGAAGTAACTTTTATATTCCAAATGGAAATTGGAGATCTCCCTCTTTCTTTCTCTCTCGCCAATATGCCCACTGCTGCCAGTGTCTAGGGTATGCAAAAGAAAAACTGCTTACGCGCATATTAAAAATGCTTTATTTATGCTCCACTCCAAACAGGGAAGGAAAACGATGGAGACGCGACGACGGTAATCGATTTATGCGCAGCTATTTACAATTTGTTATTTGGGCGGCACAAACAGCGACCACGCCCACGTCAGACAGCCAGCCTGCAACGCCGCCGCTGTCTCTTCCCTCTGGTAGCCAAGCAACATTTGTGAAATTCAATGAGAACCATATGGAAAAGTTCACGCAAATCGTTTGGGGAGAGATGAAAATTCCACGAGCGAACGGACGGACGGACGAACGGACAGATGGATGGACCTGCAACTGGAGATGTTTGAAATATAATCAAAATGTGTGTGTGAGTGTGAGTGTGCGTACTTGTATTGTTGCGAACTTATTGTCTAAAGTACCTTTAAAAGGTGATAAAAGAAAGTGAAAGAGTAAGAAACGAATTTTAAGCGACAAAATGAACAAGAGAAAGAGAGAGAGAGAGAGGGAGATATGTATATAATATGGCCTAAAGGTAAGACAGAGAGGTAACCATCTCAGTAGCCATTGTTCAAAGTTTAGCTCAAAGTCACATTTAATTTGAATGGGTAAAATCCTCGAGCCATTCTCCATAAACTTACAACATTTTCCCGCATACAATGAACAAATAGGTTCAAGTTCTGAGCTACAGAATATTCGACTCCAGGATACCCTGTGATCGATTTTGCCTTTAATAACAAGTCACAATAGTTTAACCACGCAGGGTCTGATGGTTTCCTAACTGTGCTGAGGGAACCCAGCTCTTGCTCGATAAATATCGATATATAGCATGTGAAGTTAAAGTTCTTAACAATTGATGCATAGTGATGCACTAAATCAATATACTCTCTTCACACACAGCTGATAGGGTAGCAAAACAATGGCGAAAAAAGAGCCAAGCAAAAGAAAAAGGAAATAAAATATCGTATAGAAAACTTTGTCCAAGCAATAAATGCTCAAAAATTTTAATGAAATTAAAATAAGCCGCGGCGCGTGTCCAAATGGAAGTTCGAATCGAATGGCTAAGACACAATATCTAATTGCTCTCAAAGAAAGAAAAGAGAAAGAGAGAGAAAGTTAGAGAGGCGAAGAGATGGGCCAATGTTATTAGATTGAAAATATATATATGTACATATGTACCTACACACACAGATACAATTTGGCAGTATTGTAGACCCTGGATTGACAGTCCGAACAGATAAACATGACGAAATCACAGCTAATCCCTTTAGGATCAATCTGGGCTTGGCTTTAAAACTCATTCATATAAAATGTATTACGTATATAATATTTATTGCGAAATCGTTACAGAATACCGCTTATTCTGTCAAATAGTAAACTACTAAAAAAATAGATACATATACATATGTATATGCATATGTTATACTAGATACAAAAAAAAAACCATTTGATTGAAGACTTTGTTTCGTTTTGGCTAATTTTTCAGTACAGGAAAAAAAAGAGAAAGAAACTTAATTGCCTGTCGCAGCCTCGGCATGTGGGCGGGCTGCATATTGTTTTTGGCAAGTGGGCGTGGCATGGCTGAGTGCACACGCTAAAGCAAATGCTCAATCAATTTGAGGCGCGATTGAGCCGCATTTCAGAGCCGCGAGACGCTTTCATTTGCATACAGCTGTCCACTCTCAGCTGTCTGTGTGTGCGGAAGTGCGTGTGTGTGTGCGTGTGCGTGTGTGGGGGGCGTCTGTGCCTGCGTATCTTTGGTGTCCATCTGCAGCGAGAGGCGCTCGGGCGCATCGTCGAAACGCACCTTAACCTCTGGCCTGGCATTGCCATTGCCATTGCCATTGCCATTGCCATTGCCATTGTGCAGCAGAGCCTGCGCGTCCAGCTCCATGATGGGCATATCCATGCTGAGTGACTGCAGCGTGCTGTGGCAGCGCCTGAAGCTGGGCCGCTCCCAGGGCTCTGGGCGCCAGCATTGCAAGAGCAGCGCGTAACTGTGAACGGAATTGAGATGCATGAAGCGAATATGCCCCTTCGCTGGCGCTGAGCGAGCACCATAAATGAAATATGGCTGGCACTTACAGTTTGTCGGGACATTGCTCTGGCTGCTGCAGTCGGCCGCCCTCCTTGACGTGGGCGAGCACCTCGAAATTGTTGCGCGCCGCGTACGGCTGCTGGCCGAGCGTGAGTATCTCCCAGCAGAGCACACCGAACGCCCACACGTCCGACTGGGTGCTGAAGAGGCCATCGACGAGACTCTCGAGTGCCATCCAGCGCACGGGCAGCAGGCCCTCGCCCTCCTTGCGGTAGTAGTCGCTCTTGTAGATGTCGCGTGCTAGCCCGAAATCCCCAATTTTCACGATGCGTCGCCCGCCAATCGCTGCCCCATCGGACACCAGGCAATTGCGGCAAGCGAGGTCGCGGTGCACGAAGTGCATATCCTCCAGATAGCTGCACCCGTTGGCCACATCCAGGCACATGTTCAGCAGATCCTCAAACTCTAATTTGCGCTTCGGCGATTCCTGCAAGCAACGGTACATCAGTATCAATCATTTCCTGCTCTAAATTCATTCAAATTAAGATGGCATTTCGCACACTAACTTTTTTTCGGCTACTTTAACTGCTTTAAGCAAAACCTAAAACAACAACAAGCAATTGCAAAGAGCAACGAGAGAGCGCAAAGAAAACGGTTTCGTTTTCATTCTCTCCTTTGATCGACTTTGAAGTTCACTCGTCAGCATGCAAAGAAAGGAGACAAAGCTATGCGGCTACACTCTCTCTCTCTATCTCTGTCTCGCTCTTGCTTTTGGTTGCTGGTTGCTGATTGCTCGGCGCATGATTTCGAATGCAAAAGGTTACGCAAAGCGCGCGTCGACAGCCATAATTGTGACGCTACATTAGAGAGTCGGACTTCTGTCATGTTGCAAAAGCACTTTTGCTTTGAGTATGTGCATTATAAGGGGGCATTTTATCAGAGAGAATATTATTAAATTGTTTGGAGTCTAAGTTGAATTACGTTATACGCAAAATATTCGCAAGCCATGACGTCATGAGCAGTAAGCAAAATTGAAATCTTTATACATCAGCTTTGTTATTTTGGCTGTGCACACATACACATACAAAGCCTAATGGACTCTGCGTAAATATGTGTGTCGAGCGAGACATGACTGCCCTACTTTATTATAATAACATGGCGAGTTTTTCAGTTGTGTATATGTTTGCTAAACTCAATAGTTGTTATAGAACTAAAAATGATATATGGGTGTATAAAAATAATTGACGCAGTATAAGTGAGATTTGTTTTTATTTCATTGATAGCTCACGAAGCGTGTTTTGAGAGTCGAGTTAGCTTAATAAGTTGCTTAAAAAATAAAAAGAGAAGAGAGTGAGCGAGTAAGAATCGTATACAATGAGAGTCGTAGCAGATATACATACATATATACATACACTTGTATAGCAATAAGGATAAGAAGCATAGGCAAACGACTGTGTAAGTGTAACAAGGACGGCATATGTATACGTGTCTATCAGTTACATTCCTATTGTTCAATTGAACCAATCGTAGAGCTTGAGCAAAGCAACAGCAACTTTTATTACATATTGTAGGCATAAGCATACTATTTGATAATTGGCAATTAGGCTCAATTCGCTCACCTGTGAGTTGGGCCGAGCCGCACGCAAGTAGCTGAGCAGATCTCCCGCCTCCATGTGCTCCATGATCAGCGAAATGGTATCGCTGTCGAAGCAGATGCCAATCAGGCAAACGATATTCTCGTGCTTGAAGTTGCTCATCAGCTGCGCCTCCTGCAGCAGCTCCGCAAACTCGCTGGCGCCCTTGCGCAGGCTCTGCAAGTGGATGAGGATGAGTTTGGGCATGGCAGGTGAATCAGCGCTAAGCACTCACCTTGATGGCCACACGCTGCGGCTGTGCCTCGTCTTCGCCCTGCAGCTGGCCCTCGTACACCTCGCCAAAGGCACCGCTGCCCAGAAAACGCAGCAGCGTCAGGCGACTCCAGCTGATCTGCGGCAGCAGCGCAATGTCCGCGTCGCTCAGCGTCATCGAGAACGTGCGATTGCGCGCTGCCATCAGCTGCTGCTGCGTCTGCAGCGTCGATAGATTGCTCCAAATGCTGGGTCGGCTCTGCTGGAGCAGCTTTTTGGCTCGCTGGCGACGTTTTTGCACTGCGAAATGGAATCATGTTAATATTGATTGATATAGGTACACATGTATGTATGTATAGATGGATATGTATAGAGAGGAATAGCTTACCTTTGCGAACGAGCACAAGGGCCAGGACACAGCTGGAGACAATGGCCGCCGGAGCAATGATGGCCAGGACCAGTGAGCCACGCTTCTCGGGCGAAACGAAGGGCTCCGCAATGCGTTCGCTGTCCTCGCTGAAGGGTCCCCAGCCGTGCAGTTGGTTCCGCGCCCGGACACGGAACAGCAGCAGGCGACGCGAGTGCAGGTCGCGCACAATGCAGCTCAGCTCGGTGGTGTTGCAAAGGTCCAGCCACTGATCCTCGATGACCTGCGGCTCCTCGGCCCACGGCAGCGTGGCAAGGGAGGTTTCGCGACGTCTGCGACGACGACTCGGACGACGCGCCTGCAGCGCCTCCAGATTGTAGAGCATTATGGGTACCCCGTTCTCCGAGGCGGGCGCCCAGCTGACCCGGAACACTTCCCCCGCTATGTGCTCCAGCTGCGGACGGCCTGGCGCACTGGGCGCATCGCTCAGCGTCTCGTACACCTGGCTCGCCGTATAGTAAACCGAGCCGGCTGGCGTGCTGGCATAGCTTATGGCGAGGCGGCAGGAGTAGCGCGTCTTGGGCTGCAGCGACGACAGCTTCATCAAGGTGTAGTTGGCGATTACGTTGAACTTCAGCTGCTCGCTGCTCAGCGACTGGCACTCGAGGATCAGCGAGCTGATGGCGTCGCTGGTGCCCGCCCAGGCCAGGGTCAGGGAGTAGGCGCTCAGCTCGACCAGCTGCAGGGGCGGCAGCTTTTGGTAGCTGCGAATCAGTATGGGTTTGGTGCCGTTGAACTTTGTGGGCGTGGCATGGGCATGCAGCCAGAGCCGGTAGAGGCGGCCGGGCTGAAGCTGGGTCAATCGCTGCACACCAGCCTGCTCCAGGCGCAGCTGCTGCGGTGGATTGATCGCCGTTTGATTCCGATCAGTATCTGCCTCGCCCGCGTCTGATTGATCCTCCTGATTGAGCAACGATTGATCGTTTGCTTCATCCACTACATCGGGAATCGTTGAGTGAGGCTTCTGGCTCTGCTGATGCACTCCTTCGTCAGTCTGATTTCCCTTCTCCTTGTCGTTGTCCTCCTCAAGGCTGCCCGATACATCTGCCGCTTGCTCATCCTCCTGTTGCTCCTCCTCCAGCAGCTGCCAGTGCAGCGTGTAGTAGACGCTCTCGCTTCGCAGCTGCAGCGGCGCCAGCCAACTCACTTCCAGCTCATTGGGACTCAACGCCCTGGCGCTGAAATTTCTCGGCGCCGTAGGCGTGGCGGGTGCAGTGCGCAGCTGCTGCTTCGGCAGCACCAGCAGCGGCTCCAGCTTCAAGACGGTCTGGTAGTAGCTGCTCAATGAAACGCCCAGCTCGTAGCTGTGGAAGGGCTTCAAGCCGGCAATGCCCAGGGATTGGCCGGCGAAGCCCTTGAACGAACGCAGCTCACTGGAGTTGCTCTGGCTCGCCGTCAAGTTGAGCTGGTAGCCCAGTCCGGGTATGGGCAGGAGGCAGTCCGGGGCAGCAGTGAGGTGGGGCAGCTGCAGGGTGCAATTGGTCTCGTCGCAGCTAGAGGCCAGCTGCTCGTGCTGGGCGCTCCAGGAGGCGGGCAGCAGCAGGCAGTGACGGTCTGGGTAGGCCTGATAGTTGTAGGAGCGCAGCAGGCGCACCTCGTCAAAGCTCAAGGGCAGCAGGTACTCCAGCTGCTGGCGACGTCGGCCGAAGGCGCGCAGGCTGCCATTGCGCAGGGCGTAGAGGTAGCCAGAGTCCTGGGCCAGCTGCAGGATGTTCTCGTTCAGCAGGTTGAGCTGGGCGCTCAGGGAGCTGGGCGTGCAGAGCTGCCGATGAATGTGGTAGATGCACAGCCTGCCCAGGTCGTCGACCAGGTTGACGGTCTCCTCCGACGGCTGCTGGCTGCCCTCGAAGAGGCGCCACAGCGACTGCGTGAGGCCCTGGAAATGCAGGTCTGTCGCGTTGGCTAGGCTGCGACCCCTCAAGGTGCCGTTGCGCTCGTTCAGCGAGTGCTGCAGCCAGATGAGCGCGCGCGCATGGGGCAGCGCCATCAGGTCGCGCAGGAGCTCGCCGCGCGGCGTGCACCACAGCCTTTCGCCCGGCAAAATGCGCGCCTCGAAGCGGCACAGATCGAGCCGGTAGATGCAGGCAGCGGGCAGCCGGTCGGCCGCCGGCAGCTGGTCCAGCTCGGCCCAGTAGACGACGCGCTGCACCCAGTCGACGGTCAGGGCGAGCACCTCGGCGCGCATGCGGGCCAGCTTGGCCGGCACCTGGCCCGGCACGTGGCTGAGCAGCTCGACGTGCTCGTTCACCCAGAGCAGCCGCTGCTCGCCCTCGATGGTGACCAGGTGCTCGACGGGATTCGCCGTGTAGACCAGCTGCTGGCGCCTGGCCAGGTCCAGGTCGAACTCGCCGATGTGCTCGGCGTTGGCGTAGAGCAGCCGCGGCACCGCCTGCAGCTCCGGCGCTATGTGCAGCGTGTGGCTTGTGGCCGCTGTCGACTGCTGGGCCTGCACCTGGAAGCGGTACGTCTCGTCCGGCCGCAGCTGGCCAATGCGCGCCTCCAGCTGCGTCTGGTTGAGCAGCAGCTCGGCGTGCAGGTCGGCGCCGTGCCAGCAGCTGATGCGGTACTGCAGCGCCGTCTGCTGCTCCTCCTCGGGCACGTCCCAGCGCAGCAGCGCGCTGATGTTGACGCCCGTCTGCAGCGCCTGGGCGCGCCGCTCCACAAAGACGCGCAGCCTGCGGGGCTGCGTGGGCGCGGCCAGGGGCGTCGCCAGCGTCAGCCGAGTGGTGGGTCCAGCGCGCCAGGCCGAGTGCGGCGTCAGGCTGACCCTCAGCGGCAGCATGGCCTGCGAGAGCTGCGTGATGCGCGCAAAGGACGTGGCCAGCTCCAGGCTGAGCACCCGCTCGCCGCCCTGCTCCAGCAGGAGCTTGTAGCTGATGCTGTGGTTGCCGGCCGTGTGCGTGGGCTGCCAGCGCAGCCGGAAGTCGTTCCAGTGTCCGCCGGGCTCGATGCGCACGCTCTCCACGGCCACGGGCAGCGGGCGCACGCTCTGGTCAGGGCTGGGGTACGCCTTGTCGCTCAGCAGCTGCAGCGCAGTCAGCGATGCATTTAGACCCAGACCGAGCGGCTGCAGCGGCTGCGTGCCCCTCGAGGTCTCGTCCAAGCGCAGCAGGTGCGCCGCGCTGCCGTCGCCGGCGATCCAGGCCAGGGCGTTCAGGGGCTGCCAGTGCTGCAGCGTGTGGGGCAGGGCGTCGATCGAGCTCAGCGTCGTCAGCAGCTCCAGGCTGCGGTCCATGGACAGCGCGCTGCGATAGACCAGCAGCTGAGAGCTCGAGTCGGAGCCGGAGCCCGAGCTGGAGCCCTCGACCAGCCAGTAGAGATAACGGTGCTGCAGGTCCAGGCAGAAGTTGCGGATGCGCCCGGTGAGGCCGTTGACGTGGTAGAACTCCAGCTCCTGCTGGGTGTTCAGCGTGCGGCTGGCCAAGTGCGCCTCGCTCGAGTAGTACAGCTGGCCGTGCTCCGCATCCAGGGCCAGCTGCCTGGCCCCAAAGATGGGCAGCAGCTCCCGCTCGCCCGTCAGCGGGTCCATGCGCTGCACCATGTTGCGCGCCAGGTCCGTCCAGTAGAGCATGCCGCCACGCCAGTCGTAGGCCACCGAGCTGACCTGCTGCAGGCGGTTCAGGGAGCCGCAGCTCAGCTGGGGCTCCAGCCGGTGCACGCAGTAGAGCGTCTGCTCGCTGATGTAGTAGGCCACGCTCTCGTTGACCAGGACGAGGGGACTGGGCGCGGGGGCGAGCTTGGCGGGTAAGGCCTTCAGCTGGTCGCCCAGCTCGTTGGTCATGTAGAGCCGGCCCTGGCGCGTCGCCCAGCGCAGCCGGTGCTCGCCCAGGGGCCAGCTGCGCGTCGCGATCTGCTGCGTCCACTCGCCCGCCCAGCCGGCCTGGTTGATGGCCCGCACGCGCAGCTGGTAGAGATTGTTCGGCTGCAGGCGCTCCAGGCCGAAGCTCAGCTGCCGGATATTCCGTATGTTGTACGCGCTCTGGCTACCCACGTCGAGCACCTCCAGCTCGTAGCTGAAGTTGGCCACGGACAAGGTCTGGTAGGGGTTGAGGGCCGGTGGCCGCCAGCTGATCTTGGCCGCCTGAGCGCCGAGCATGGCGCGCAGCCGCTGCGGCTGGGCCGGCTCCAGGGCCAGCGGCTGGCGACGTCGCTCCAGGGCCACGATGTCGAAGATTTCCTCCTGCAGCAGCTCCTGCTCGTCGCGCTGCATCGTCCAGCTGCTGGTCTTGCTCTGCATCTCCAGTTTGCTGTCGTTGATCAGCAGCAGCTGCTTCTGATCGACGCTCAGCGCGAAGCTCAGCCAGCTCTCGTCCCTCAGCGGCCTCAGCTGCTTGTAGCTGCCGTCGTAGCTCAGCTCCAGCAGCTGCTGCTCCTCCAGGAGCAGCACGTGGAGCAGCCAACGCTGCGGCTCCAGCACAAAGTTGCCCAGCCTCGTTTGGGCCGGGCCCACTCGCAGCGCATCCTTGCTGCTCAGGTCCAGGCGATGCAGCGACTCGCCGTCCGACCAGAAGAGCCAGCCATTCAGTGCATCCACCTCCAGCTGCTGCACCGTCTCGCCCAGCTGCGCGTTCAACTTCTCCACGTCGTCTCCTTCCGTCGAGCAACTGAACAGCTCGTACTCCGCACCGTCTCCTGCCTCGGCTGCCAAGTACAGACGTTGCCGCAGCCAGTCCAGGCTCACCTTCCTCGCCGTCCAGCTGCCGGGCAGCTGCAGGCGCAGAGCTCGTGCCGAGCTAGTCGCCGGCTCATCCAGCAATTGACTGTGGAAGGGGGAAGAGGGTTTGATTGACTCCCACTCCTTACAGTTGGGCACATCCCGCAGCAATCACTCACCTGTGCAGCTGTCCGAGCGAGTCGAGTAGCCAGAGTCGCTGTTCGCGCTGCGACCAGGCCAAGTCGCTGATGTTCGCCTGCTCGCTGGAGCGGTAGACGACGCGCGTCTCGCCCGCCGGCTCCAAGGATTGCCAGACGACTTGCCGCCGGCTGGCCAGCAGCACGCTCAGCAGCTGCTGCGACTCCAGCGGCGCCTTCGTCTGAATCGAAGCCACGGCCGGCGGCCCCTGGCCCTGCTTGTTGATCATGCTCAGCGACAGCGAGTAGTTGGTCAGCGGCTGCAGCTGGCCGAAGATGCAGCTCGTGCGCTGAGCGGGCAGCAGCTGAGGCAAAGGAGATAGTGATGTGTATCTGGACACCTCTGCTGCCGGGCGTGGACTCACCTGCTCGCGACTGTCGTTGCTGCCGCCGCTGAGCTGCAGCTTGTAGCCCTCGAGCGGCGCATTGCTGTAGCGGCCGGGACGCCAGTGAAGGGCCACGTGATGCTCGTCCAGCGCCAGCACCGATTCAATGCTTGGCGCCGAGATGGGTGCTCCTTCGATGGGCGTTTCATAGATGGGCGTGGCCGGCGAGTAGAGAACATCCGAGTGGCCCTCGCCAAAAGGCAGCTCAAAGCGAAACTAGAGCGGGAGAGAAAGAGGCGATGAGAGAGAGAGAGAGAGAGAGAGAGAAGGAGATTGAGAGGGGGAGTATGGATTATTGGAAGAGTTGATTACTTTAAGTCTGACTACATGAGATCTCCAATCTAATCAGGTCTTCTCCCACCCAACAAGCATTATCAATGTCTCTCTCTCCTCTCTCTCTCTCTCTCTCTCTGTGGTTGTTAGCAACTTACCCTGTAGCGCGAGTAGGGTATTAGCGCCTCGAGTATCTCACACACGTAGTACTCATCGCAGTCGTAGTCGGCCAGATTACGCCAGGCCAGCTCTGTCAGCTGATCCAATTGCTGATATTGTATGTTGAAGGGTCGACTGGCCAAGAAGTTCTCCGGAAACTGAATGCTCCACTTGACGGTCAAGGCACCCGAGTCGCTCGATGGCTCCAGCAGTTGCGGCTGCGTCGACTCCACCAGCTTGGCCATGGCCAAGCGCTGCAGATGCCAATAGTCCCGCTGTGACGTCTCGCAGGCGCCAATGCAGGGCAAATCGTAGGGATAAAACTGCGTAGAGGCCTAGAGCAGCGAGATATACAGATTTAGAGTGAGATAGAAAGAGAGAGAGAGAGAGTTAGTCACTTACGCAGGCCTCCTGGCAGGGTTCGATGTCCTTGAGTGCTCGATACCATTGTGCACAGCCCTTGGTGCACTGCAAAGAGAGAGAGAGAGACGGAGAGAGGGAGAAATTGGTATGAATTAGGGAAGTAGAAATGGAAATTCCTTAAGCAAAGATTTATATATAAGTTAATGCATATAGGAGAGAGTCGAGGAAAGACCTCTACCAGTCTTAAGTAGAAGCTACTGACAACCTAAGAATGTCTCTCAGATACGATAACTGCTTCTTCAGCTAAGGTGTTTCAGAGAACACTCAAGAAAATGACTCCATATATGTAGAGTCCACTTCAAGACGGTACTAATACTACTCTACACTAATCATATACTCGTCTGCTCAACATATTTCAACCGCTCACACTGGCTTTGTTGTACGCTTCAAAGCATTTCTAGATGCTTATTCAAATTTGTTGCTCATTATATATTTTTGTGTACTTTTGTCGTCATCGGAAAATTTCGTGTTCTCAATTGGTGAGTGGTGGACGTAGTCTAGTCTAGTCTGAGCTGAGATGGATTGCTGCAAGGTACAAAAGACACAGAAAATGGGGATCAAGTGCCTCGGCTCGAACTGCAAGTCGAGTCGACTGATGAGCTTGCAGCTGATGTTCAATGGATTCTTGAGCTGCCTGGAGCGGGAGCACGATTGGGCGCGTCTCATGCACTTCGAGCTGGTGTGCAACTAGTTCCCACTGTGGCCAGGATATCGTAATACTCCTGCTTGATCAACCCCCATGGGGTAACTCAATCAGCGACAACCACTAACAGCTTGCGGTTAAGCTTAAATACAAATGTGTGCCGTGAATCGGCTTCGACTTTAAATGTGTTTTGAGTTCTTGGCAGAAGTAGACGAGCTCGTATACCTTACACTTATGGGAAAGTTGACTCGGGTCTGTCTGTTTGAGAAAGAGGCATCTATTATTCGTTCAAATATGCCTTGATTATGCATAGTAAAGGGTATCCCACAGTCGGTCATCATGTTGTTTTACACATTTTCTCCAAAATGAGGCATAATGAGTGGCTTAAAGGCATTTTTCATGAATGCTTCACTGTACTTTGGCTATGTACAAGATAGGGTATCTACTAGTCGTTCACAATGTGATTTATAAGCACTGGGAAAGCAGTTAAAGAGTAAGCAGATGAATTTCTGAAACAAACTTGTTGCATATGTACTGAAATTGTTTATTTATAGGGTATCTGCCAGTCGTTCAATTTGTCTACCAACTTGCAATTGGAGAACAGACCTAAGAAATCGTTTTCATGGTGCACAATGAAAGCATATACATACATATGTATAGATGTATATATGCATATTGTTTATTTATAGGATAGGGTATCTGTCTGTCGTTCATTTTGCTGGCTCTGCAATTACACTCGTTGTCTGGGAATTTCGGGGTGCTCGGCTTCAGTTACTGGGAATTGATGGGATTTTCGATTTTCGTCTCGCCGTTGCTTTTCTATCCCCTTTTTTGTGGGTCAGTCGAAAGCAGGTTTCGAATTACGGGTCTTTGCGGCCTTTGGTCAGGGCTACACTCGACACCGCTTGCGCAGTGGCGCGGGGGGCGTGGCAGGGGGCAGGTGTTGACTTACGCGAGTTTTGTAGCACTTGTCGCTGTTGTCGGCCTTATCGCACTTAATGCCAAATTCGTCAAGAAATAGATCCTCCTGGAAAAGCAGAAATGAAACATCAATAAAGAGCGACAACGGAAATGCTGATGTAGGAGAGTGTAGACGCGGCGTAGGACAGTGTAGGGGCAGCCTGGCCGTGGGAAGAATATTCAATTCAATGTCAATGCATTCGCATTCACACAAAGTCTCAGCGTGGAGAAAGGCAATTGCTAAGGAAAGCGAATGAATGAGGGGAGCAAGTAAACAAAGAGAAGGGCTGCGAGAGAGAGAGAGAGAGAGAGGTACTGCACTTAACCAGCTTGTGACCTTTAAAACTTGTCCTCTATCGACAGTAAAAAGCTTAATTAAGATACCCTGTAAGTGTTGAATGCGCCTAGCGGGGTAGATTAGCTTGAATCGAATGTAATATGAATGGGAACTGCAGGGAAATCTATGTAAAGCATGGAGAGTAAGTAAACGTAAGCTGGATACAGTTTAGTATATTGTGGACAAACGTCACCCACTCAGCTGTCAATATACCCACTCACACACTTTGCACTGGGTATTCACAGTTTGTTGATTCGCTGGCTTTCAACTCGATATCTGAGAATTTCTGTCTAATAAAAATGCACAAGTCTATTTGACCAACTCAACATTTAGCGTGCGTCACGCCAAACGAGTTTCAGACTGCCTCCTCTCTCTCTGTCTCTCTCTCTCTGTCTCTCTGCTCAGAGCACGTGAATCTTTGAATCTTTGATGTCTGCTCTATGCGAAATAAATCTGCATTGATAATTAGCCAAAAAGTAAAAATGGAGAAAAAACATTTTGCTCGCATCGAAGGTCAACAAGAGACGCGCTAAAGTTGCTTAACCTAGTGCTAGCAATACGCGCAAGCAATACGTAATTCTTACTCATAGCTCAACTGAACACAAATTAAGTCCAGCCAGACAATGCTCGACTTACTTGAATTCAATTTCTCGCTCGCCCTTTGTTTCTACGTCGATGTCTGCTTCTGTCTCTGTCTCTGCTCTGTATGACTTGCATATGTGTGTATTTTATTCAGAATCTCTTATTAGCTCTCTACTTTTTCGCTTTCTCTAAGAAGACGACACCCTCGCCCTGAGTCTGCCTTGATATCTCGCTAGCCTTTGAGTGTATTTCCATCTCAATGATTTTTTTTTTCCATAACTTCTCTCTCTCTCTCTCTTCTCTACGAATCTCCTTTTTTTTTAATTCAGTCAGAGTTACTATAAGCTTCTCTCTCTTTCTGCGACTCGGCGAACTTTCATTCAATCTCTCTCACTCTCATTATATCCCTCTCTTTATTTCTCTTTCCTTCCAAAGAGCTCCAAATTGCTATTGCTTTCTCCTTCTCTTCACCTTTCACATTTTCATTAACTCTTTCTCTCTCTCTCTCTCTCTATGTCTCTCACTCTGCCTCTATCGCTCTCTGTCTCCCTCTTTTTCCCTCTATCCTTCGCAGTATCTCCCTCTCTCAGTCCCCCTTCATCTTTCACATTTTCTTTCACTCTCACTCTCTCTCTCTCTCTCTCTCTCTCTGTATCTCTCTCTCCCTCTATCCTTTGCACTACCTCCCTCTCTCAGTCCTCCTCTCCCTCTAGTTCCACTTCCATTTCAAATTCCACTTCCAATTTCCCATTTCGGCTTTCGTTTCTATGATTCGAATTTCGAATTGCCTTTAAGCTTCAAATTATCGCATGCAGTTGCACAATTTACACATTTCTATACATACACACATACACATATATGTGTGTGTGTGTTTGTGTTTCTTTATTCTTGCACACGCGTCAATTTAATTTAGAATTCTACGTAATATTTTATTAATTTAGCTTGATTGGCTTTTTCACAAACTGTTCACAGAGACTGACTGTGAATGTGTGCGTCTCTCTCTGTATATATATGTGTGTGTGTGTGTGTGTGTGCGTGTGTGATGAAAGATTTAAGGGTGTAGGTGGCGTCGAGTGGGCGGGCGTGGCATGTGGGGCGAGCTACTAGCTAATTGGCATTGGAGGGGGACTTTCATGTCGTCATTGCAGCGTCTTTTGTTGTACAATTTCTATTACATTAACTGACTGACTGACTGAGTGAGTGATTGACTGACTAACACACTCACACACACACCTATTGCAACCCAAGTGTATGTGTGTGTGTGTTATTGACACCATTTGTTGCTGCTGTTGGTGAAAAACACTCTACAAATTTAATCAAAGCGGGTATTTTGAAGAGCGCAGAGGCTTAGAGACACATTTGGTATCTGAATATGAAAAGTCCATCTGAGCTAATCTAAAATTTAGAGAAATACGATAAGGTCATCTACAAATTAGAGTTCACTTTAAAAACTAAATCCTTTGAGCAAAAGTCGAAATCTTCAAGAGCTGGCGATTTGGTATGAGTGTTCGTGTAAGGCCCTAATCAAATGCTGTATGCTTCACTCATTTAGGATTAGAGATATCATGACTTAACTCAACTTCCTTTCTTTGAGGCAACTCTAAGCTGAAAGCTGGCTAGGTATAGCTCAATGTGGTGTCAGTGAGGGTATCTGCTAGTCGATCATACGCACTCTTGCTGGCTTATTACGCTGCAGTCCGAAAAGCTAAATAAATTGGCTGAGCATTTTGCACAAAATCATCAGCATCATCAACAGCGTCACAGCATCATCATCGCGTCGAGTGATTCTTTCGTAGAGCTAGATATTTGCGCTGCGATCCAATCTATTCGGCTGCCCCTCTAGAGCTGCCTAGGCAGCTGCAGCTGAGGCAATTAAAGCAGCCAAGCGATAAGCAACAATTTACAGACATACTAGGGGCATTCCCCATAAGCAAAGAGAGGAGGGAGACAGAGAGAGAGCGAGAGTGCGAGAGCATCTCAAATTCCCAATCCGTGTTTGAATCTCAGTTCGTACAGCATTTACAGCAATTAGGCTGCCTGATTAGCTTTAATTAAGCCAAACTGACATCGAGATGGGGCTTTCGATTGCATCGCCCTCTTTCTCTCTCTCTCTCTCCCTCCCTCTCTCTTTTTAAATGGGTCTCGGTCGGGGCAATGGGGCATGGGCTTTACGAACAGTGAAATGGGCATTGTCGAGTGTTGAGTGAGTGTGAAATGTGTAGCGCTTAATTAGCGCACTCTAGTCCCAACTAGTGTCTAATTGAATGCTCTGACAGCTGTTTGCATTCTCAGCTAAATCGATAAGCAGTTATCGATTAGCAAACATAACAGAGAGAGAGAGAGAGAGAGAGAGAGAGAGAGACAGTGACAAAGATGAAAAGCGTTGTGTGAGAAAAGGAATGTAGAAACTGAGAATAGTGAGGGCCTGAGATGTAAATGATAATCTTTATATCGATTACCTATGAATAGATTATCGATAATGATAAAATAAAGTGAGTTCACCGCAGAGAAAAAAGATTGGATATAGCAACTGTCTATTGCTATATGGCGCCATCTATTGGGTACTTTAGAGCGATAATTGAATAATGATGGCAACCATTGTAAAAAACAAACATAAATTACAAATATAAAATGGAAATAACAAAGACCACTTAAGTATATTTTTAATTATGCCAGATACGCGGACAGACGAGTAGAGTTCACCGAGAAGCTAATTAAAAGCAGCGCTACAATATCAATTTGTTCTCTCTCCCTCTCCCTCTATATATATGTATGTATGTATATATAAAAAACTAAAGATGATGAAATATGTTTTCAATTTGTTTCCATTTCTAACAATTTCTATTTATTTATTTTGGTTTTGGGCAATTAATAAATACAGATAATAAAGATAGATAGCAGCCGACAACAGACAATTTTCCCATAGAGCAAAGACAGATCCAGAGAACATTCGAGGAAGCAACCCACACAATGTGCATTCATACAAATTACCATCAATTTGACAGGTAACCCAAATCTTTCAGTTACAGTTAAAGATACAGATTCAGATACAGATACAGATACAGATACAGATACAGATACAGATACA